CTCTGTCTAGGAAAACTGTCCCAAAAATAACTTTAAAAATGATTAAAAAATGTAAACACTTTTGATGTAAAGACTATTTGTTACTATTCTGTGGTTAAAAGATATATTATTCAAAGGCTTACGGTCAAAACTCTGACTTGATTACAGGTACATATGCTTACAACATTTAATCAATTAACCTTTATTTATACAGCACCAATTACCTCAGATGTTCTCTCAAGATGGCAGGTCTAGATCATATTCTTCAATTGTACAAAGACCCAACAACAAGTTAGGATAAGACTAAGTCCCATCTTGTAACATCAGACCTACTCCCATCCCATCGTCAAGTGCCAAGAGGACAATCTTTCTTTTAACAGGCAGAAACCTTGAGAAGAACCCAACTCATGTTAAACAGTCATCTGCTGGGACTGTACATGCACTTAAGGATCGAAATTAACCCCTGTTTATTCTTAATCAACTTTCTTCCATCTGAAAAATCAACTTTTAGTGCAATTTCCATTTACTCACCCACTCTAATTTCATTCTAAATCAGTTTTGTAAATCTCTAAGCACAAATTGCATCCGTTTAACACACTTTTTGCTGGAAAGTTCACTGGAAACACTGTCCCTGACAACCAATTAGTCTGACCCATGACCCACCTGTACAAACTTGGGTGAAAACCTTAATTATTAGACAGGGTATAATAGGGACCTCAAGTGACTTTTACATCCACACATGTTGGGATGTAGACTCACTAATATTTCACACGTCATTTACCATTTCTATATCCATGAGTATGGATTTTAACACTATATTTGTGTGTGTGTGTATGTGTTGGCAGGTCCCTGGGTGTGTGTTCTGCTTTGGGAGTCGCAGGTTGGGCACGGACGCCACAATATGGCCTCTAATTCAGACCAACAGCCTCTCTGTCAAAAAGAAGGGGACAGAGCAATTAGCCCCACGGAGGAGAAAGAAAGAAAGAGGGAAGAAGGAAGGAATTGTGAATTTGACACGTTAAATGGTTGCGGTGATTAGCATGTGGCTGGGTAGAGTTGGGCTGTATTCATTGGATCCTTGAATGCATATTGCTTCTCTAAAACGGCCGTACCCCCACCTCTCTTCTTCTCAGTCTGTCCATCATCCGCTCGGCCACCTTTCACTTGTAATCACCCTCTTTGGACTCCTTTTTCATTCAGTTTCTTCTGCTTTTCTGTCGCCTTCATCTTTCTATGCCGTCACGCTGACTGGAATGGAGTCCCTGGAAACCCTGAAATCAAAACAAATTAAGCCGGTAATTAGATGTAGGAACAAATGAAATGTCAGACACTGGCTGGTAGGCTCAACACCAAAAACAGCATGAGCTTATCTCTGCGTATTACAAACAAATATATCCTGAAAGACTGACCAAAAGCTGTGCATGTTTCTTGGCAGCTGCAGCGGGGTTTCTGAGGACACAATCGAAACTTATTTTTGCTTTAATTTGTCGTTAATTTTCAGCTTCTGTTGCTTTTGACTTCGACTCAGCTTGTTGCCTCTGCTATATGAGCCTGGAAAAGAGCAAAGTAACAGGCCCAGTGTGGTGCCTTTTCCTCCATTGTGCTGAGATCACCTCATGCCAGCTTTCCCCTGTCACATTAGTGCACATCAAGACACTGAGCAACACACGACCAGCACAGAGAGAGTTTATCCTCTTCATTTCAGTCCTTCCTCTCAGTTAGGGTTGAATGATAATTCAGGGGTAACACCCAGTTTTTGATTTATCATTCTAAAAGTGCAGACTTGATTCGATGTACAGAAATAACAACAATGGGAGTATTTGTGACTCAGCTATTTTGTGAACTGTATCCCACCTCAGTGCTTGTGGTTAGTTGTCACATGAGCTATAATTTAATTTACAGTAAATAATATCACCTTCCTACCTACCTATCTACCTGTTATAAGAGGCCTCAAACTTTGATTCTCTGCTTATATACACAGTACATGACTGTTCACCATGAGACAGGGTTCTCTGGTGGTGAGGTAAACTTGAAATGTACTATACATACCAGCCAAAACCCGAGCTCTTTTCATGTGTGGTCCTCAGGTTTTTGCACTTGCTTCCCGTTAAATCCAAAATCCAATTTAAAAGTCTTGTGATAGTGTACAGAGCGTTGCATGGTCAAGCTCCGGTATATCTTGACCTGACTCAAAACTGAAGAAGACTGTGCTTTGCACCCTGTTGAGCCTTAACTTATAAACTGTACTCCACTGGAATTGAGAACTGTGGACACTGTCAGTGTTTTAAAATAAAACTGTTGCAGATCTATTTGTTTGGTCTGTCTATGTCTGCATTTGTTTAATTGGTATATTTGTTTGTTTTTGCATTTTGATTTGTTGTTGTGAAGCACTTCCAGATGACCTTTTTTTTCTGTCAGAACTGGTATCAGAACCAAATATTATTGATTTTGTATGCAAAGTTATGTTACATGTTGGTATGAAAAGCCATTAAAAACACCAAATATTTGTGAAATCAGCTCGGAGAGAAACTATGTTTAATCTGTCTCTGCAGTCATAGGGAAGTGTTGTTCATGCTGGGTAAAGGGTACTGTTTTAGCATTTTCACTTAAGACTCACTCGTTCACACTTCATTTACACTGGCAGAGGATACTCGTGGTCAATATGTCAAAAGCAGGTTAACTGATGGTCAATATCCAAAGCTGATATAATTTTTTGGCTATTTTGTTTTTTCCACATCAATGTGGAAAACACATAAGGTTATAGTTTAGGTGTCAGAACTAGACTTTTATTCACATCAGAAGCAATATTGATGTTCATTATTTGAAACAAACCTGAGTTCCTTCAGGGTGGGAAAACATCCAGCATCCACATTGGCGAGGCTGCCTGCTGTGTCTGCAGACATCATTTTTAATGGAAATCAGCCTCATGAGTGCAGACATTCAAATTGGTCCAACTGTTTATGAGATGTATCTCTCGAAAATAGGACTATTTGCAAAGTTCCTACTGTATGAATTTAGACATACTGCTGCCCATACCCTCAGGAGCAACTCAAGCTTCATGGTCTCATCTATAGACATTTCAACATGTGGAGTGCAAGAGAGCGACTGAGAGACAATCCACTCTACCACTGAGCCCCAGCCACCCCCAAGTTGTCTTAAATCTATGACACCAAACTTATATAATGTGGATAAATGCCATCAATGAGGATGTCAGAGTTTCAATAATAATCTTATGCTCTTAAACTTACTAAAATACAAAACAATATATAAAATACAGAGTGGTATTTCATGATAATTGCAACTCATATCACAGTGTTATGGTGAGTATCGTGATATGATGCTTTGGATACACATCTTATAGGTTTGACTCGTTGATGTTTCGTTGTGTTTTGGTGTTTTTATGGCATTCATTAATAAAAATACATAACTTGATCACTTAAATGCATAAAAACCAGAGTCTGCTCTCTGAGGTACACTTTTCACTCTCCTGTTGTCTGGTAATCCCTTGAATGTGACCTCAGTCCCTCTTTATATACAGTGCTTGCCTTCTCTCTCTCTCGCTCTCTCCCTCTCTCTCTCGCTCTGCCTGTTAGGGCTGTGCAGCCTGAGCTGTCAGAGCAGCAACAATCCCGCTCCATTAGTATGGTAATGAGGCTGCGGGCCGACAGGTGGCCTTCTAGACGGCTCAATTAAACTGCTCATTAAAGAGAAAAGTTAACGAAGCTGCAGCCCGGTGCCAGTACGGCTTCAACACACAATGTGATGTCACAGGCAACAAATTGCTGGTGAGTAGGGGAGTGTGTCACCCTACATGTCTACAAGTGTGTGTTTCCCATCTGTGTCCATGTGCGCACACGTATATATGTGTGTGAGTCTAAATAAGCAGTGAGTGTGCCTGTGTGTGGTCAGAGATTGAAACAACAGGTCAGAGAGAGTTAGATGGACGTTACTAATAAGGCAGAGAAGCAGCTCAGTGATCAGATAACATGAGAGACAGGGAGGAGATATGGGATGGAGGGAAATAAGTCACTCAAACTTGGCCTTTTACTGTCCCATCAGGCTGCCAGTGGCCATGTTATCCCCATCATTAACTGAGAATGAAAATTATAATGCCCTAATTGTTTTAAAAGCAGCCAAAAATACTGGGAGCACAAGATAAACATCTATCCATAGTTTCTAGTTAAAGTGAGTTGAATAGAAACTTTTTCTTTTCAAATAAAAGCAGCTTTTCAAAACATGAACTCTTATAACCATTCCCTGTTTGAACATTTGTGAATTTCAAAGATTTTATTGTATGTTGTAACTTAAGTCTTAAAAATTCTGCTCATGAACATCTCTCTAAATGGTGCAAAGTGAGCCTGTTCTGCTAATTATTGCTAAATTGTACACACTGTATTATTCAAAGATGGTAGAAAAATGAAATATTCATATCACAGAAGTCTGTCTTGTATCACAGCATTCAATTGTATTTTGTTGCCCTAGCTCATTACAAAGCAGCACACTATTATTGTATTTCGTTATTTTGTAAGTGCATCTAAGATATAAGTAATCAAGAAAAACAAACAAACAAACAAACAAACAAACAAACAAACACAAAGCATAGACACTTCTTAGTTTATGCCAAGTGAGCCTTGCTCTCATTTTGTTTTTTTTCCAGCTTCACCATCATTTTCAAAATTAATGCTGCGTTCGAGTTACCTCGGACGTCAGAAGTACGAGCTGAAAATGACGTCAAACCCGAGTTACCAGCGTTTCAGTTAAAAGGAGAATCAGGGGCCTGAAACAAGATAGCTACATCTACGAAAGTTATTTTAGCGCTTACCTTATATTCAGACAGGGCAAGTGCTAAGATACTTTTCGTAAATGTAGCCATCTTGTTTCTGCCTCCGATTTTGCTTGTTTTTTCTGACTTGGTAACTGAAATGCTGGTAACTCGGGTGTGACGTCATTTTTCAGCTCTGACTTCTGACTTCCGAGGTAACTCGAACGCAGCATAATTCATTTAACGTACCGGAACGTCACATGACTACGCCGTTTGTTTGCTTTTTTTCATCGGGCTTTACCTGATAAGAAAGTTTCGCAGTGTAGGTTACAGTTAAACAGAAAACGTCTCACGAAAACGACGAGCCTAACAATAAATTAGACACAGGTTTTATATAAAACCAAATCGGAGGATTATCAACGTCATTTTGCTGAAGTCACGAGACCACCGGAAGTGACTGTTTTCGTAACCGTCGTAACCTGCTTTTACCTGTTCGGTAAGTGAGCTTTTGTTTCATTTTGTGTACTGTTTACTACAGCAATAATGTTTCACATTTTAAGGCCACCCTGTTGTTTAGCGGTATGTTTCTGGAGTCCACAGGTAAGCAGGTTTGATGTTAAATCACCATACTGGTAAAAAAAAAAAAAAATGAGACAGCTGGCTTCTTACCACTCACACAGCTACAAACAATCGAGTCACGTTTTGAAGCAGGGTAAGAAAAGTGTAGCGTTTGTGTCCTCTCTGTTGTCAGCTCAGATGATAAAACAGATGCTGTGTCAAACGGATAGATACGAATTTCTGTCACTAAGAAAGATTTGATTTCCCAATGAATTAATACCATGTTTTACTGTTTACATCTACTTGGCTGCAATAAAACAGCTGCACTTACAACTCACCCATTTTAAAATGAAGACAAGAATATTTTAAGAGCAAAGATTTCCTGACAACAGATGTGATATTTGGAGTTTAATAAAAGCCACAAAATACAGCCTTCAAAACATTTGGTTTATCTGCATTCAGTCAGTGCTTACTTTTTGTGCCAAGTTTATGGTATGCCTTCCTGCAACATAGAAAGGATGATATTGATCAATTTTGATAATCTGAAACATGATATTTGTACAAAGAGGAGGGAAAAAAACAAATAATCTCTTGCTGACTTTTCAGGTCTTAAGTGGAATGAGCAGGTCCAGTGAAGAACTTTTCCAGGAGACGGTTCCATCTAGTAACCACCCAGATTGATCTCAGGATAAAGGGGTGGTTATTGCTGTGAAAACATCCAGCTCTTCATTGTGGTAGGATCATTTAATACTTATATCTCGATCGGTATCGGCTTCAAGTATTGTTGCAGAAGTGCAATATAGCATCCCAGACTGTGTCAAAAGAGCTTCATCTGATCTAAACCTTCTTCCACCAATGAGCAAAAGATAGTGACATGACAACTGATGCTGAAAACTGAGCACAATTTAACTTGGTGTTCTGAGGCCGTGATTTAGTTTTTCTTTGTTTACAGATGTCATATTTATACAGTTGGAAACAAAAGACAAGTAGACAAGACAAACACAGCAGAAAAATACTTTCAGAACTTTTTATTGGGACTTAACAAGCTGCGTCCCTCTCCAGTCTTGTGCCTTTTTGCCCAGTTTAATAAAACTTTTAGCAACTTTGCATACAGCCAGCTCTACTCATCAAGTATTTATTTCATAGTGAGCAGTGCGGAATTGAAACTCCCTTTTCCTGTTGAAAATCATTTGCACTGGCTGGATGGTACTTGGCTGGACAAACAAATTAAGGCTAAAATTTGATGAAAAGAGCTTTTGACCTGTTCATTTGATCATTGTAATTTCAACATACCATGTGTCATGCATAACAATTGTAGAGTTGGTTTGCTAATTTTGTTAACTTGATGGAAGAAACAGTTTAAAATGATATAAGAAATGATTTCTTGTTTTGGATTTTCCTCTTTTTATTCTCTGAACAAAAGAAAAAGATTTATATACCAAGAGAAACACTTCACTTGTTGCTGCTTTCACAATTTAAAAATGATTTTTATCCCCCCTCCCTGTATTGTATACAGTTTGTATTTTCATCAGGTCAGCCTCGTTTGGATGGAGGTTGAGGGCACTGAGTGCAACATGTTTTAATAGTCACTCATTGTTTATTAAGTATGAGAATAAAGATGTAACAAGACATGGTAATCAGTTTGTAACCCTGACCAATTTAGTCTGTAATCCGGGGGGCGTGCTCTCTCAAGTGTGAAAATGGGGCCATATGTGTCTTGCTCCTCTCTACCTCTCTCTCTTTCCCTCTCATGTTTGGATCGCTGCGTCTGTGACATGGAGGATCATGGGAGTTAATGGGGTAGGACTCCGGTCAACAAACGGGGTTATGTATGGGCACAAACAACAACACAGTGAGAAAACAGACCCGCCAGATTCGCTTAAAGCTGTCTGAAAGATGTCTGCCCTTATGAATATGCTAATCCCAGTTTACCATGAACAAAAAAAAGCTCATTAATTAATAAGAAACAATGGCCCCCTTTAATGACACAATAGCTGTCGTTGTAGACGGGGACTAACGTATGTCTGTGCAGAGTGTAATATTTAACAATATTAATCCAAACCTGTTGTCGGTTTTTGTAACATTATTTGACAATACATTAGAAAGGTGTTTAGTACAGTTTCGCATCATAAATCTATTTAGAATGAGATTTAAGAAAGTGAAAAATAAGCACGTTATCTGTGAAAATAAACACATTAAAAGCTTACAAATTTCATTTATTTTACATATTAACTGACAATTTTGACAGTGACAGACAGTGAAAGGCAGACAGACAGGCTCACAGACAGTCACACAGTCAGAGGTGTGTTTTGTCTCTGAAAGCTGTTTTACTGCATTAAGTATTAACCTAAATAACACAGATCTCCCCAGCTCAGAGATGATGTGAACCAAACAGGACATATTCAGGACTTTTACGCCACAGCCACAAAACTAGATCAAACCCACAAACACTTCACAACAATAACAAAAACAACCCAGAGGGCCCTACCTTCTGCGACTCATTCTGCGGGACAATGAGTGTAGCAAACTTTGCAGTGTGCACTACACTGATAGGGACTTTTGCACTTTAAATTGCACCTGGAAGAGTATCTCATTTTGACAAAAGTCTTCAAATAATCCTGCAAAAGAGACCTCGTTATTATCCCAGCTTTACTCTTTTTACATTTTAACAAACATAGCTGCAAACTGCTGCTCTTGGAAACAAATCTTTGATATCATGTGAGCTTTTCAGAGGCGAAAGAGGTTCAACAGCCATGTAATACTGGCAAAAACATTGCTTTCCAGATTCACATTTTTTTATCTTTAGCCATACAGTATGTTGTGTAACTCTGTCGATCTCTTCAATCACTGGTGGACTTTGTCTTCCCAGTCTCTTAGCTTTCAGCCTTTCTTTTTCATTCAAATTTTTTAGCTTTGATGCTTTCTATTTGTACACAGCATAAATGTAGCAGAGGTCTGGAGCTGAAAGAGACCTAAGTAAATAAAAGTAAATAAAAGGGCTGGGCACCACTTCTACAAGATTGGATCCAGTCTACTTTTGGTAGTTCTGTTTTTATTTATTCTATTATTCTTGGAAATAAGATAAGAAACAAAATTCCAGGAATAAAAATGAACCTGCTTTCATTGTAAAGTTAGCTGTCAACTTCATTACACTCAGGGAATCGGAGCCAGAAATTCACCTCTAGTTGAATGGTGTTGCTCTGTATCCGTGGTGGCGACAACACTCACTTGCAAAGTCAAAAAACTACCAGAAACAGGAATCTCACAGCCTCTCCTAATCCCAGTTTAGGTAGGTGGCTCTATATATATTTGGTGACATTCTGTTGCTTTTCTGTGGGCTGGAAGAACAACATCTTATCTTTTGTTTATGATTGCATGAAAAGAATAAAAATTAAATTTGAATCTTGTTTTTTTGAGGGAATTAACAGCCCCAAGCAAGAAAATCTGAATTCATTTGAACTTGAACTTTACTCATCTACTGTGACTCAAACTTAAAACTTCGTCTTAGCTTATGTGCAACGCTGTTGTTTCTTTCAGATTTGAATTATGAATTTGTCTTCACCGGCTTCATGAGGTTTTCCTTTAAGGTGATGGGACAGAGCTTGGACATTTTTGGTGACTTTTCAGCCACATAATTCCTCTCGCCTTTTCCTGATTGACCCTGCACTTTATAACACCTCTCCCTGGCCTTTACATCTATCCTGAGTGCCTTCAGCAGCAGCAGCAGAGGATCAGTGAGGTCTGAGCGGTCAGCAGGCAGCAGCCCGCTGCTCTATTATGTCACTAATTGGTGGCATGAGTTAGATGGCAGCAATATCAAAAGGCAGGAAGCAAAGTTTGGAGGGACAAGGGAGGGGATGAGGAGATGGAGAGAATGAAGGGAGGAAAGAAAAGTGGAAGTCAGTAGGAGAAAAGGAGAGATTTGCTCTCATTAGAGGTGGGCGTGTCCATTTTTCACGTTAGTAGCAAATTAGTTTGACAGGGGAGTGACAAGTTTTGTTGTTGCGGATGTTTGAGTGTGTACATGGGTGTGTGTATGTGTGGGTGTGGGGATGTCAGTCCAAGGGGTTCTGGTCATAAGTGTTATGTACATGATGAACAATAGAATTACCAGGTGTGGGTGAGTTTAGCTGCTCTCATAGTGTCCCCTTTTCTGGTGGGAAATGGGAAACGCTAATGTGGGAAAGGCAGAAATCAGAGGAAAGATTTAGGAGAGAGGAGGCAACAAACATCTCCGGAGAGATTGAAATAATTTGGCATGTCCCAAGCAACTGACTCACATTTCATTCAACACTGGTTTTAACTTCCAATTACTTAAGACATTAATCTTAGTGTTTGTTAAGACAAGCAACACAGCCACAAAATTTAAAGAGATGTAACTTGCAAACACCATGAGCAATCCTTTGGTACATTTGGCAACATGGCAACTGAAAAGTTTTACAAACAGGCAGAACCAGGCTTTGAGTGAACAGCCCACCAGATGGACAGAGAAAGTGGCGAGAGGGAGGGTCACAGAGAGAGAAGTGGACAGAGACAAACAAACAGAACAGCAACTAAAATAACAGATAATCCAGACAGATGGCTAAAATACAAACAATGTGAGAAACTTTATCAGACACAGAATTGTTATGAAAATCAAGTGACATTCAGCAGTGGTAGACACCTTTGGCATTTGTTGGACTCTGAGGTTTTTGCTGCTTATTTTGTGTTTTTTTTTTCCCTGTTTTTGGTCAGTATGATCTCTAGAGTATGATCGGGCTGTCTGTTTAGGAAACGCCTCATTATTTGGTTATCATTTGGTAACAGTCTCAACAAGTGATGTAATTGCATGATTGCCACCCTTTGTGTTGGAGGGAGAACGACACTGACACCAGCGTGCCCACCATCCCCTCTGGCCTCGCTCTCTTGTGCCCCGGGGCGTCTTGTGCAGGCTCATGTGTCCTAATCGTCCCCCTCTCACATCACTTCTACTGACCCCCTGTTGTGGTGAGAGAGAGAGCAACATTACATCTTAATCTCACCCGCTTGATGGAGAATGCAGGTCCCTGAAAAGCAGCATTTTCTGGTTACATGAACCCATTTGTGGTGAATCAACCATATGCCAATTGACATGGCTGCCGCTGAATGGCCAACGTGGATTGTAACAGTGGTGCGGGGACAAAAAGCCCCCCACGGGCTCCCACACCTCCACCAGGACTGAACAGACGTTCGGGCTGCTGACACAAGGCCAGACCCCCCCACACCCGCAACGATACAACAACACAATATCGGTCTCTAACCAGCTTCTGATGTTTATGTTTTTGATATCATGTTAGGAAAACTAGTGAATGCAGCTCCAAAATCATAAAATACCATTAAAACTTCATCACTTTAGGATGTTTATTAGTTATAACACCAAGTATGTAGCAACAGTCACACATCAAATCATAAAATATATTTCCAATCATATTTTGGCCAATACAAATATAGATAGTGATACACATCTGTTTCTTCAGTGTTAAGAACTCAAAGTGTCCCTGTATCATGTCTGCTGACACTTATGTTGTGCTAACCCCGAGGAGTACAGCTTGGGGTTCTCGGGTTCTCTATTTTATGCTGTGGGTCATTTACTGATGATATTGCTGTTCCTCTGCTTTTGCCTGGATGTTAGGTTAAATTGGCACCTCTTTTCAATGCCACCTGGTCATTTCCTCTCCAAAAAGATTTACACATTATTAAATTTAATACATCTTTCTAAATGGATAACTCGTCTCTGTTTACTTAATTATCATACTGATAACTCTCCGATTGCTTCCCACTGAGCAATAGACGGCTATTAGACATGTAGGTTTTTTTTAGATTCTGTATATTTTCAGACAGAATGTAGACATTGCACTTTAACCCATTATTGGATAACCATTTGTTTCAAAAAGCAATTGTGAGTTGCATAACTGATCTCCAAGTACTTAAACAAAAATAATTATGATAGCCATTGAGCAATATACCGTGTAGCATAGATATATCCCAGATTTAGATTTAGTTTAAACTTGGTCTAAATTTAAATGTCTGAAAAACTTTCATTTTTTAGACCTGTGGTAGCCTGATTTTAGACCAGTCGTCTAGACTACATTTAGACATCTATTAGACCTCTTTAGACCAAAAAATGCTCAGTGGGTTAGTATTGAGAATATATACATTTTTTAATTTTGAAAGGTAATGCCAGCAAATACCCTCTTTTATTTAAAAATGACTATAACTGTAATGTAGCTGCTCACGAACAAAAGAAAATAATCGATTGAATGTTTTAAGGAACAGCACAGGATAATCTTTCGTCTTTTACCATTATAGGTGTTGTTTGTGACTAGTTGGAAGTCTAATTAAGTTGTAATCAGGTGGCAGTTGACTCTTGGAGATAAACGAACACACCAATCCCTGTCCTTTCTGCACCAGTGATCCCACATGAGAGCGTGAGACGGCCAGCTTTAGTGAAAATGAGCCCTGACTGGAGAGGCAAGCTGGCCCTGCCACTCCACCGACTGTACCGCTGGAGAGGCCAGTGCGTTCACCATATGGGACAGGGATGGTCAATAGGATTACGTCGTGCACCTCTCCTTCTCCCTCTTCTCTCCTCCTCACATAATCAACCAGGGGATGAAGTCCTGGCCCACCAAGCCTCTGCTGAAGTATCCCAGATCCCCTTTTCCCTACTTGGGAAGGGGAGAGTTGGGCAGTGGGGGTCTCGTGGGCAGAGAGAAAGAGCAAGGGGGACCAGCAGATGGATTAACATATTCAACAGAAGCAGAGATCAAGCCTTTATAGAGTGAGGACAGAGGGAGGCTTTCTCTTTCACATACAGAGTCTGAGAGAAAACAGAAATGAGTGTAAGCTGGATTTGTTTTCATTGTCATGGAAAATCAGCGATGGGCCGAGTGATAACTCCAACACTCAAATGTAGCCTCAGTGTTTTCAGCAATGCAGGAGTGGAGGCAAAACAGAAGGGAAACCCAGAGCTGGAGAGCAGCTTGATAAGTAAGCTCAAAGTGCTCACATTGAGGCGCAATCGTACCAGATGTAGCTTTCATTTGATTTTACTTTACACTCTGACATTTTTGGAAGGATATTATAATTTGGCTACAATCTTAGCTCTGCTTCACTCATATTCCCCTCCTTTTTTCCTGACAGTGTTTTTTCTTTTTTATGGATAAGGATTTTTTTTTTTTACATAAGACTGCAAGTGTAACAAGATTATATTGTGTAACTTGGTCTGTTAAAGAAATAGTTTTGCTTTTGAAAAGCGGTTGTTTGTGGTACTTGACAGTAGCAAATGTATTAACCTAAAAGGATGTTGGTCAGCTCAGCATGCTTGATGAAAAACTGGCTGGAGAGCCTGAACTGAAACTGGGCTATCAATCCCTTTAGATCAGGTCAAATGTAGCCAATATTAATGTGTGTGCTAATGCCCCATTTGGACATTTTTTAGCACTTTGCTGTCAGAAAGCCTAACTGTTTTTACACTATTCTCAAATAAAACGTGTTCTTCTGGCTGCTGCGCACTGATCAGCTAAGTTCATATTTCTGTTAGTCAGTTTGACATAATTTGGGGTCTTAATGTGGACCATGTGTATTTTAATTCTGCTTTTGTGTTTTTCTGATTAAGAAAGTCAGTAAAGTAACAGCAGCATGTAGTACAGCAAGAAACACTGGATGGTGAGCAATGCAGACTGCTTCATATTTGAATCACTTGTACTCTTTGATTCAAAAAGGCCTTAAAACAAAGCTGTGGTTATTAAGTCCCACTGTTCTTCTCTGATGGCAGAAGCTGGCTCAATTTACACACCTGCACCAGCAGGTAACTTGGGATTTCTCCCGCTGCACTTTTTCCTTTGGTTTGTTGAGTCTTATTCTTCAGTTCATAAATTTGTTAACTTGTGCCCTGCCATTACTGCAGTTGGAATTATTTGTTTTTAAGTTTGGTTGTACTTTTGTTTCTTCTGAGGAAACCAAAATACCTGATAAGTTAGCTGATCAGTTTACTAACATGCCCAAACAGCTTTGAAAAAAACAGACTACTCCTTTAATTTCAAGACCTCTAAGTTTAACAACGATAAACTCAACTCATCCTTTAAAGGGAGAAACATGCAAGTATTTTGCTTGGATTTTATTATCAACAATATTTTATTTGTAAAGAGCCATTTTGTATTATCAGTATTTTCACTTTTGATTCTGGTATGCAAGTATAATTATAAATTTAGAGTCACTACTTTAACTCAAGTTAACGATCTCAGCATTTCTTTGAACCCCCCCAAAAAACACCACACATACGCAGATAGTTAGTAGATATACACACGCACACACACACATTACCACTATGCTGTGAGCAAACCCTTTGCCCTGTCCCAGCATGGGCACCAGATTAGAGACCCTGTTTTTTCGCTGGTTTGCTGTTCTCATGACATGTGAATAGTCAGAGAGATAGCAGGCCGACATTATCCTTCAGATTCATCTCCACATCAAAGATGAGCCCAACGGCTGTAGGAATACCACCCGGAAAGAGAGCAGAGACCCCGCTGTTAATGTTGGATTAGAGATCCAAAAGCAGAGAGGAGCTTGTGTAGTGTTTATAAGTGACTGTTGATATTTGATCAGGCTATGTTCTTTTTTCTTTTACAGGCCCCCTTTCCTTAAGCAAGACTTTATTTCGTGAGCTTGCAGTATGTCATGCCAACTTTGTGAAGGATTTGATCCTAACCTCACAGGATAAAGAGAGATGTTAAAGAACCCTATTTTATCCACCTGTCTATACGCAATAAATCACAGTTGTTTCTTTGCTTTTCACAGAAGTATCAGATAATTTATGTTTAATATCGAGTCCCAAACAATCACTTTTCCTCTGAAGTGTATGAGCTGTTTATCTGCTCCTGGGTTCATGCTTTCCTGAAGGCTTTGAACATGGATTTGGATGGGATTTACTTTCATTCAGTCACAAGAGAATTGGTGAGGTCCAACAGTGAAGGTCTGCTCACAGTTGGTGTTCAATTCATCTCAGAGGAGTCTGATGGGGTTGAGGTCAGTGATCTCTGCAAGCCAGTGGGCTACCCCAGGAATTAAGCACACATCGGTCAATCCACAGTTAAGGGAGACCTGTCGTGCTGATCTGCATTTTACTACAAACATGTTACAGTTAATGTTGGATGTCCATACCAAACCTTTGGCAAATTATCACAGTATGACATACATGCAAGTCTGCACCTTGTGATTCAATATGTCTCTGAAAGTTGCTCATGTTCTTTTAGTCGGAAAGGAAAGCAAAGCAAAGCAAAGCAACACCTGAATTTGTATCCCTGGAAAAGTGGCCAAAATGACATGTTTCAGGTGAAGATTGAGAAGTGCCAAAATGAGGGTTTTCACAGATGTCAAAAAGAGATACAAATTTTTTGATCACGCAGAGCTACTCTGTCGGTGTCTCAGACTGACATAATGAAAGCTGATTAGTGTAGTATGTCTTCTTTCAGCGTTTTTGATTTTCATGTGTCTAAGATTGTGTCCCTGAAAGTGGCCCATTATTTCGAGCATCAGTGTCCGTGGAGCATCCCTAAAGAAGAGGCAAGATGAGTAAAAGACAACATGGAAGGAGTTATGGGTGTGGGGTCAAACTCCCATCAGTGATATTAATCTGTTGAGCATGTTGGGTGGGATGAGATGAGAGAAAAAGAGGGAGATGTGGACAAGATAAAGAGAGCGACATATCGATGCAGGGAAGGAGACAGAAGGAAAACAATGCAGCAGCAGCCAGAGAAAGAGGGCGAACCTGCTGCCTGGCTGCTGGTGTTGTGATGGATGAGGTCACTGAGAGGGCTTCCTCCAAAATGCAGAGTGTCTTCAGGGGGTCAGTCAGAGGTTGGGTGGAGGTCAGAGTGCACCCAAAGGGGAGACATAGAGTCTGAAAGTACCACAATAAATTTTAGTAAAATTATTGTTTGGAAATGTTTTCCTGTCCTCACTGGTCACTTTTTTTGTCTGTTTCTGAGAAAACGTTTGACCATCATGGTCAAAGTCTGTCTCTATATCAAACAGGCTCCTGATGACCCTCCATCGATCTCATCAAACTGTTAATGTTTCCCCAAAGTCAAAACCCAGATATTTGAGTTTGTTCTTTTATCATCATAATATAATTAACGCGAACGCTCTCTGAGGCGTTTAATCCACTGTTGACATGTCAAAATGCACATACGCAAGGCATTTCATCAGCAGAGGGAAGTATTTCAGCACTTAACACACCTCACAACTCTATGAAGGCCATGATTGCAGCTTTTTCTTTACCGGGTACCAGAAGAAATAGTAAAAGCTGTAACTCTTTGAACTCAGCTTCATCTATGGCATGACAGCTTCAATTATTATGCTCTTAGACTGTCAGATGGACAGACTCTTTCTTTGCATTGATAATTTGGATGCAAATATATCAGTGTTTAAGTCAGACACTTGGGGATTTTTAATGATTTGAAGTGGGTTTGGTAGGACAGACAGCTAGACATGTTAACGTTTGTTCAACCTTTACTTCACCAACAAAGAGATTGTGGTCTGGTATCGAAACTAACCTTACAGTCAATTTTTAATGTATTTTCCTGTACTTTGCTGTAAACAGGAACTGCCAAACGATTACCTTTTTGACCAGAATTATTTTTTGAATTTTAATTGTTAATAACGATTAATTGCAGTATTTTATAACCCCAATGATCATCATTATGTAACGGTTTTAACTTTCGTTATTACACTGGCCTTTTGTGGACTATTTGTCTAGGTCTCAGTCTGTTGCAGGCTTTGGCAGCTGTGAAATTAAAATTTTACAAGTAGTTGTTGTATCTTGATGTAGGAATTTTTATTTTATTTTATTTGAAGAATACAGATACAAAAAAAAAGTAAAATTGAATTTTAGTTTCTCTGCAAGAAAAGTTAAAACTAGTTTGAGAAAGTCAGACACTGACAATGTCTCAAAGTAAAAGCTTGTTAGTTTTGAATATCAATGAAAAATATGCAAAGTTAAAATGTGATTGTGAAATACCCCAAACCCCTTTGATAGTTCCTCTAATGTGAAAACTAGCATACATGCTAATTCCAACACAGACACACTGTACGGTGCACACAGAGTACTTTCCTGTGTTGTCACTTAGTGTCCCCGTGTGGGAGGGCCAGTCGTGGAGTAGCTATGTGTGAAGCTCACCTTTTCAACCGTGTTGGAACCACTTGGTAAACACACACTATAATTACTGCTTATTAGAGGCTATAGGGGCCCATTAGTGGCACCGGCCCTACCCCTCACTCTGCCTGCCACCTCATTATAGGAGCCAGCACAGCACAGTCTGCCTCATTACCACCTGCCTGTTAAACTCACACACACACACACATGCATGAGTACACACACAGTTTCAGACAAACAAAAACAAGTAAACACGCACACATGCATTTGTGAAAAACAGAAACACACTGCAGGTGCTGCTAGACTGAAGTCAGGTGTTGACTTGTTAACTGTTGGATTGTGGAAAAAAGATGAGTGTGTTTGTGTGTAGGAGAGACAGGAGGAGAGAAAGTCTGCATAACTGTGATCATTGTGTCAACTTTGTCTGTAGTGATCAGTGAGTTTGTCACTTATGTTACTTATCAAATATTTCATTGTGTAAATGGTGAATTTTTTCTCATAAGTTCAATAAGATATGAAAAGGAAACAGGCCAACCTCATCCAATAAGTCTGTGACAATCAACAGTAACAGATAATTTAAATATATGACATATTTGCTCTGATATCTGTTGTCTTTTGCCCTAGATTGCACTTGAACAATTGTAGTTGTTTCACCAGAATTATTAATTTTTTCCCAGCAACCACCAGGTTGCCTTAAAAAGACAGACATGATGGAGAGTCGACAGTGTTGGACAAATGGTTGAAAACATGCTGAATAAGACAGTGACTATAAGCCTAATGTATTATTATTTGCATACAAATTCTCTCTTAATTTACTTCTATCAGATACACTCTGCTTCTATTTAAGGTAATGGACTTAAGGTCAAGTTTGAATGGCAGACATAGATCGGATAAGGTTTCAAAGTATGCTTTAGGCCTACTATTTGACAAGGTGCTAGTGTGGTTCCACTGTCAAACAAGGTCTTTAACTTGATAGGGCAGGACTGGTCACTTTGTTTTTTGAATGTCAACACTAAAATAACAAAATCAAGCTAGCATCATTCAAGATAGCTTTAATAAGTAGTTAATTTTAGTAGTTTTATTATTTTATCTGAACATACATGTATAATGAATACTCTCCATGTTTACTTATTTTATTCTCTATTATTTTTATCTAGAGTCCCAGTCATTTAAAACCAATATATTTTAGAGCTTTAATCAAAATGCAGTGAATCTCATACCGGCCTATGCCTGTTAGGTAGATGAGGTAAAACTGAGACAGTGTCAAGTCAAGTTAAAAACTCAGTAACAACTACCAAATATATGTTGACTTTACAATTAACATTGTGTAACTTACATTTCGCTGGAGCTGTCTTGCAGTTTTTAAGGTTTCAGCATAAAAGTAAGAGCTTTGGTTGTAGGGAAGTAAGGACACCCGGGATAACATGCGTGCACAAACATACGCACAAACAAAAGGTCCTTCTTAATTGCCCTCTCAGTGTGCCCCGTTTTGACCCAGTCTCTATTAAATAAAACAATAATGTCACATTCCAGACCATGCCACCCTATGCTGTTCAGTGTGCCGCCTGTGCTGCAAACAAAAGCCTCCTCTCTGTCAGCAGGCACTGAACCGGCTGCAGCTGCCACAGCCGTTTCTTCACTTTACTGGCAGGACCCAAGCTTCTCAACAGCACTGATTTACTGAGGAAAACAGACGCTATTTTCTCCCCCAACCAACCCTCTCCCTTCCATTTCTCCTATCCTCCTCTTCCCTCCCTGTGCCCCCTGCTAGGGTTACAATTTCTTAGCAGAGTCTGTTTGACTCTGCCAAGACGGAGGAGCTGCCAACACACTCTCCTTCTCTTTGATTCTTGTTTTATTCTCTATCAAGTCTTTCTCTCAGTCCTCTGACGAGTTACAGTCGTGGAGTGAATGGCGCCATGGTAGCACTGGCAGTTGAAGACTTGTTATCTGTTTCATTGCACGCTCTCTTGGTGTTTTTCTTAGCTTCTGCCTGTTTTTCCTGTTTCGACAGGTGAATGTGAGATGGGCATGGGTGCCAGGGAAGCAGATGGCTTAAAGAAAGTGGATGGGAGCAAAAGTTACAAGAAAAAAACACAACAATTTGGAGGAGAGATGCTGTGGAGAATACTAGAACTTAAAAAAAGATAGAGACAGCTTAACCACATACAGTGCCCTTGAGTGATCGTTACTATTCAAAACATGACTCATATGAATACTGACTCATATGTTATTTCTCACATGTACATGATAAAAGTCTGTATTTTTAGGCCTCCTTCAATCGGTGATGGATTTCACAACAAAGAGCTCATGTTTGTACCACATCCTCCAATGACTACAGGAACAATATCTGAGTTGGGAGATCCAAAGTCCTTATTCAGTCAAGATCATACCTGTCAACATTTGGGTTATAAAATCCAGGAGATTTTTGCCGCACGTGCCGGGCAGTTTTGGGGTTACCTTGTATGATGGATATGAGCTAATTATGAGAGTATTTCTAATTAAAACGTTCATCCAAACAATTATAAGTGAAGCTGCACACTTCTTTGTTTTGTTTTAACGATAAGAAATGGTAATAACAAAAATAATAGCTACGATATGCCTTGAACTTATTTAGCCCACAAACATTAGAGTTAAAGTCCTCATATGTTTTACATGCTCTCCTGTATGAGGCTCTCTGAACATCTGTGCATGCAATACAGCACTCTTTTATCTGAGGCTGCCCTGAACGCATCACTCCAAGATGGTGCAAGACTATCAAGATAATTATTATATCTCATGTTTGTTTCCCTTTCATTTGAGTGTTCATTCTGCAGCAAACACTGCTTAAATATAGTTTACAGCTTAAACTGACCTGAATCATCCCAAATTGTAAAGTCAAAGTATCAATCCAGTGTCTGTGAGGCTCAGCAGAAACACAGGACAATCTTTGGTTGTCTGGAAACCTGGCAACTTTGGACAAATATAGTGATCCGATTCATGAATGATCGTGGACCATGCAAACTGGGAGAAATGACAATACGGGAGGTGGGTAAGTCTGAAATATAAAAGAGTCTTAGGAAAAACGGGAGTGTTGGCAGGTATGGTCTAGATCAATACTTTGTTTCAATTGATGGCCACTCATCAGTTTTTACCTCAGTGTTTCTTGAGAATGTTAATTCTGTAAACCTTTCTGAAAAATTTCTCAAAAATGTTCTTAACTTGATTTGTTGCTTATCAAATTGAAAACAGCTCTAAAAAGTGTAATATCAAAACAAAAAAATGCATTATAGAAAATCATTTGCACTTTCAAAAGATGTCAGGTGTGCTGTTTCAATGAAGAAAAAAAAAAAGAAGCTCAGGATAATGATGAGAGCAAACATGTTGGCACATCATCCTTCAAGCTAAGAATCATCATCCTGAAGCACCTGCTAGTCCTCGGTTTAATTATGAAACAAAAGGGCCTGAAACAGGTTACTCCCAGAAGAATCCTTCAAACTCTTGCCATGTGTGACTGTTTTAAATGTGGTTGATAAAGGAACATGTGTGGCATTCACCATATAAGCATATGTGTGTGTGTGTCCACTCCAGAGTGCTCCAAACTTGGAGGACAGCCCCTCCAGAAAACACAGGCCTGGTCCTCCAAACTCAAAGGAGGTGCTCCATTCACCGCCTGGCAACGGTGCTGAGAAATGGAGAAGAGATGGGCAGAATGGAATGGATGGGCAGTAAATTATCAGCTTTTAGAGGCGAAGACATGGTATTTATTTATAGCATTCAGTCAGGGCACTCGGAGAGTTGCAATAGAATGGGGGTGAGCATCTTTTGCAAGGGGCATCCTAGGTGGTCAGCATTGACCTCCACTAACCCCTTGTATCCTGTCTCTTTCTCCCACCCTTCACACTTGTCTTGTACCCAAAGCTCCTGAGACCTCCCTGGTAATTAGGGAACGAGTCACACCCACTCCCTGCCCCCAAAGGCAGTAAATTTTCCTCCTTCTCCTGGCCTTCTGACACACACACTCACACATCCTCAGAATTGAAGCTTCAAGACACCATTCAGCTAGATCCCTACTTGCTCTATCCCCCACTCTACATTTCATCACCACCCCTTGTTTTGTTTTGCTGTCTCAATCCATCAATCTTCCCATTAGCCCCCCATATTACGGAAACCGAGGGGAACGCCCCCTTTACACCAGCCCTTCAAATCAGTCTTCCTCTCTGCACCTCCCTTGGCCTCTTCCACTTGCTGCTGCTTCCTTCTTTCCTTCCATCCTCAAGTCCAGCCCTATTAGTCCCACCTGTTGCTTTCCATGTTCATACCCTCTCTTGTCCCGTGTGCATCTCTTCCACATTACTACCAATTAACCTCCTGCTTTAGTTTGACACCTTGCTGTCCTGGCACAAGATGATGGAATGAAGATGGGCAGAAAGAGAGAAGGCCTGAGGATGCTGTGGGTGGAAGATGGTGGGGGTAGCAGCACTTTGGGTGGTATGTTTCCTGCAAGGGTGGGACACAATGCCCCCAGTGTTCGGGCAGGCCCACAGGAGCTTGTTTTACAACAGGGGAGGGGCGGCCATCAATGGCCAGATGATGTGAACCACCCTGAGCCGATTCACAGTGACAAACAGCCCCCTCCAAGCATGCCCCCACCTCCACCTCCTCCTCCTCTTTTCTACTTTCTCCCATCGCCTCCCTCCGTCTCTCCACACATTCTGTTCTGTTGGACCAAAACCAGGGCAGCAGAGGGTATGCAACAGCACCACAGCTCAATGGACTGGAAGCGAGGGTACACTCCCACACACACACACAAACACACAGACACACATACTCAAAATTTCTCACATACATAATGGGCATACATGCATACACTCGCGTGCGCTGACACACACAGTAGCAGACCTTTTCTGTCCTTGGTCCTCTAATAACGCCTCAAGCATCTTGCTGGAACATGAATTGGTATTAGTTTAATTAAACCAGCATGGCCTTCATTTGTGTTCCTCTCCTCGTTCTCAAAAAAGGCAACACGACTTGATGACAGCATAATTGCTGAAGAATTGAAGGAGAGCTAGAGTGTTGAGTGCCAAGTGGGCCAAAAGATCCCTCCCCTTCTCCATCACCATGCGCCCTATGGTCCTGTCCTAGAGACCTGTCCTTTTCTCTTTGCCCCAAATCGGCCATTGCCCATTCAAACAGGACTACCCTGCCTGTGCAACATTAGCATGCCAAAATAAAGAAATTCTGTTGGTAGGTTTCAAACTTCAGATCTGCACCTTGATGATGAACTCCTTTTTTAAATAAAAGGTCCATCCATCCATTTTTTTCCTACTTATAAGACACGGGTCGCATTGGAATCAGGATTCACAAGTCAACCCTGATGTTGCGTTCTCCAGCAATGCTAGCTCCTCTTTGGAGCTTTGAAGCATTGCAAGGCAAAATGAGATCTTCACCAGCATTTTCATGGTCTTTCTTGGGCCGGAGTAAAGTCATATCATGGTGACACACTAGAACGCTGCCAATCTATCTAACATAAATTTAACACATCTAGATAATGTGATTTTGGATCAATATTCTTGCATGTATGCACCTTGATTGGACACAGTTTAGCCTTAGTGTTCTGCACATGCTCCACAATCTACATGCCAGGTTTTGATGCCAACCCTAACCCTAATCTGAGTAACATAACAAAACCTCAACAGAGGAAAAAGAACGGAGGTAAAATGTCTGAAGCTATTAAATCATATGTACAAAACATACAGGCTGCCTGTGCCATCACCATTTCACATACAACCAGTTATGCTAACTTGCTCAGCCATTTTTTGGCATGTGTGGTATGTGTCAACGGGGACAAGGTCCTATAGTAACTAGCTAAAATGAGGCACACTGCCAACTGTCATAGTGGGCACAGGTATACTTTTCAGATTCAGATTCCTTTATTGTCACTTTACAAGTAAAGCAAATTTTAAGATGAATTTTGTCAATAACTTGATGGATGCATACTGAAACAAGGAAAGTAGTCCAGTTAAATTGCCCAATTTAGCTATAACCGTAGCTCAACTTGAATGTGCTTGTAGACTTTTTGTATGATACATGATATTGCCAACATATTCTCAAGATTCGCCTTATCTTCTGTCCATCCATCCAGCCGTCGATCTGTCTATTTTGTATTTTGTTCCTACAGTAATTCCGAGTGTGTTTCCCGTTTCCCTCACCTTTAAACTTCCCAGTGAAGACGATATTCAACAGTCTACCAGGCTATGATCACTGCGAGTCAACCTCAAAATGTGTGACAACAGGGTTGCCAACTTTTCCCTTATGAGGTTGTGTGTGTGTGGGGGGGTGACAGCTGGTTAGCAGTAGGGTGGTAATAAAGTAGTCCGCCTCTTTTGTTAGGGATGACGAGCTTGTGTGTGTGTGTGTGATGGGATCAGAACGCTGGTAGTGAGAGTAAAGGAATGTAACCCAGCCTCTTACTCCCTCCATATGACGCTAATTGCAGCAGAACAGGGATGGCCTGGGCTGCTTGTGTACACCATTGTTATTCCTCAGCCTATTGTCTCCGGACCTCTGACAATCGCCATCTGAATGAGAGCCTGTTAAGCCTGGCAGATCCCCATCATTAGACCCCTTTACATCCATTGTAATGCAGCATTGAGGATACTGTAGGGCTATCAGTGACTTCTGTAGGACTGGGCCCATGTCCACAATAACACAGATAAATTTTCTCTTTGTTTAGGCCGTCCATCCACACAAAGCCAACATGTTTCACCATTGACAACTTTTTGAAACTGCCCTCAAGGGTGAATACATTTTGAAATGTCTCTTCCAGACCCCAGACTCTTTTTGTGTGAATGTTGGGTGCAATTTTGAACCTTTTGTTGATTTGTTGTATAATCAGCAGTTCTCCACATTAGACACACAATAGAGAGCTTATGTGGATAGCTGATAGTATTGAATGTTAAAATATTGTAAAAATGCATTTTAATTGGCCGTAGTGCTGTTCTTGTATTATTTTATAATAATGCTTTGTTGTTCAAGTAATTTGGGAGTTTAGTGGTCTGGCTTGTCATGTATAATTATATCCTTAAAAGAAAGGGCTCTACCTGGCTTTAGAGTAATCTGTTTTCAAATTCTTAGTAACTAATTGGATTTGTAGCAGTTGTAAGTCAGGGCACTCGGCTGAGGAACAGCAGCTTTCAGAAGAACAAAAAACCATCATTGTGGGTTTGACATGATCTAATATGTAATTAGTTGGGCTGACAGCGTTAACACTGTATTTACAATGCAGTTTTGGTTTTACAATAGTTGATGTGTTACACTAAGTTTTTGATCATACAGGCCTGCTCATTTGGTCCTTGGAGCAAATGAAGCCTTACGCCCTCTGAGATATTTGGCATCTCATTTAAGGGGCCCTGACCCCAGGTCTGAGTCTAGACGACTGGGTCAGAGCATCTCAAGAACTGCTCTTCATGTGGAGGGTTACCAGTTTGAAGCAGTCAGACTGGAAATACGAAAAATTATCAAATTGATACAAACTTGATCAAATTAAGAAAAACTAATAGGGTGGCAACAGGGTCAAGGGTGGAGGCAAGGCTCATTGAAGTTCAAGGGGTGCAAAGACTAGCCGGTGTGGTCCATGCCAAAAGAGAAGCAAGAGGAGTTTGAATCTATGAGAAGGACATGCCAGTTTTGATGGAGAGGTGTCAGAGCTAGTGCTGCTACTATGTTTCTGAAACGCAAGACTGTGTTTTAATTTGGGGCTAAATTACTCTGATTATCAGTGCATCAGGCCACTTGAAGAAGCTTGATCAATTAAAGGGCACTCTCAACTTTCCCTAACCTTTGAATGGCACTCTTGACCACAGCAGATTGATGTACAGAGTCCATACTGTGCATCACAGCTTGCTGTGTATGAGGCTACATGGCCTGATACTGGCCAGGGTACCCATGCTGACCCCCTGCTTACCACCATAAACAGCTGCTTGTTGGTGTGTATGATCCTAACTGGACTACAGAGCAATAAAGGAACACAACAATAACCTCTAAGTAAGAACTTTGTAGGAACTTTAGTGTATTGGTGCCATATATTGCAGACTTTCAGAGGTCTATGTCTTGTCAGGTCAGGGCTTTTTAGGCAGTACAAGGCAGATGGTTGTAATGTTTTGGCTGAGTAATATAGGCAAAACAACAGAAACAACTGTCAATTTAACAGCACTGAAAGAATTTGAGTCATGAGCTTCCAAATACAAACCATATTGATACACATGCTGTATAACCTTTTTTTTTGACACAAACATGTAAAGATAATCAATGACAACTGTAACTTGATGCTTGATGTCATTCTTGGTAGGATTACTCCGATTGATGCTCAATGGTTTCTACTGTGGGAAATTCTTAAAAAGTTGAGGTTGTGGAGAAAGATTTGGCTCAAGTTGTCTTTTTACAGGATGAAATTGCACAGAAAAAAAATCTTCAGACCTTTCCAGATGCCTTTTAAAATCCTTCTGTGGTCATAAAATAATTGTCCTGTATTTCCCCAAATTGACAGCAACCCTCAAGTGAACGTGACAGTTTTTGTTCACCTAAGTTTGGTCACGAAGGCCCTGTGGTCATAAACGGCCAGCTGGCCTGTTTTGGGCAGAATGCATCTCAGTCTAGTCCTCGTCTTCCTAAAACAAGCATCTGGAGGCCTAGAGAGTGAATACAAGTGTGAATATATTCATCCCCATGCTGCTTTGTTAAATCTCTGGGCGTAAAGCCGTTGTACCCCCGTGCCCTCCTGGGTGACCCCCGAGGATCAGAGACCAGGTTGTCGAAACATTTGTAACATTTGGCCAAAGCAAATCTCAGGCTGCCTGTTGAATTGAAGCTCACACCAAAGAGGGGAGAGAAAAAGAATCCCCCTGGAACCCTCAAAACACTCCTTACACTGGACCAGGATCCCCCCCTCCATTCCTTATCCCTCACACACACACACACACACACACACCGAGCACGGAGGCTCAACCCCTCACAACCTCCAGCAAATCCCCTTTATCTTTTCCCAGCCAGATGGGGCCGCTGGAATAATAGCTGGAGCCCAATGAGTTCCATTCAATTTGTCATGCCGTCTAAAGGAGCTTGTAAGCTTCCCATTTGCAGTTATGTTATAGTAACCATGGGAGGCTCTGCAGTGTTAGGACTTAATTACCTCCTAATAGCTGTTGTAGAGATAAAGCCCCCAGCCAGAATCACCTAACACTGTCCGGCCCCTCAGACACAGAGGACTGAAGACTCCCTCTGCAGTCTGGATCCACATGGTTCATCATATGTGAGAAGGACTGAAGGCTGTCTGTGTTAGTGACCTCTTCACCACACATGCACCTGCGCCTTTAACTTTAGATATATGGGATTGTAGATTAACTACTCCTATTATTACAAGGTGATCACCATTTCTGAATCTTGCATTTTTAGCCTTTGTTTTGTAAATGTGTTTAAGCCACCAAACTGTCTGGCAGCTGATCAAATGCCTGGGTCCACAAGGCATCATCAACTATTCAATGGGTCCCTAAGATAATAATTACAATCATTTCCCATAAGAGCAAACCCTTCTGACTACACAAGGTTCATATTTGTGGATTTGAATGAAATATCTCATCAGAGTTGATAGCTGTAATACTTTGTGCAGATGTTCATGGTCCTCAGAGGATGGCTTGTAATAACATCAAGGATCCCTTTGCATCTCTTTGTGCTATTGACAGTTAAGACATCAAACCATGAGTCTTAAGTCCAAGATGGACATGAGTCATTGAAGATTAATCCAAGTTGAGCCCCATTCCCAGAGTCAGACTGAAGTCCTCATTAATCTTATTTGGAGTTTGGGGTGTAGTCCTCGTTACAAACTTCACTCTGAATATTGAATTTCCCTTCGGGGATTAATAAAGTTCTTCTTATTCTCCTTATTCTTAAACTGTTAACTGACTGAAACTTGCCGGACTGTATTTGACCCTTAAAAGGAAAGAGATTTCATTTATTAACGTAAGATTCCGACTCTGGCAGGAGATTTAAATAGTCAGATAAATTACAGCATTGTGTATAAACTGGCCACATGTGCAGCACATCTCTCTCAATTGGGGGTCACATACACCTAGTGTGATGCTGTGAGATCCCTGCAGGTGTCCAATAACTCAGCCAATCAGAATTCTCTCATTTTGATTGACAGAATTTCCCCTTATCAGTATTAATTTAAGCAATCCAAAGAACAAGAGGTTGAGGCTAACAGTACAGTTAACTTGTTATATGCAATGTAGTTGACTGTTCAAATTGGCAAACATCTCTGACTTTTCTAGAAGCATCCTGGACAGATCTTGGTTAAAGTTTGAATTTGTCTTTTTGTTCGTGGTTCTTTTATGTGTTCAACAGCTACCTCTGTTTCAAATGTGTGGTCAGCTGCAGCTGAAACTGCTGCAAAACAAGACAGTCTATGAGCGCTAAAGACTCACTGAAACAATAAAACAAGCGTCTCTTTGCTTGCTTTGCTCCAAGACTAATGTAAAATCATACTGCACTATCATAGAGCAGCATTGTTCTTACAGATACAGCAGTTCCTCTGGCCAAATTTGAGTTTTTTGTACATCCTCTTATCACATGAAATAAATCATAAATATAGCATCATTTTTGGGCTTTTATTCTGAATTGAGGGTTTTCCAGCTATGAGCTGCACTTCACTCAAAGTTTTGTTTCAAAGTTCCTTTTGTGTGAACAGGAATTTTGTTCTTGTTTTTGCAAACAGCTTTTTTTTTTTCTTTTACCTTGTTCTTGAACCTAGAATTTCTTAGATTTCCTCATTTCATGTTGAAACTGTCACTCAGAAACAGTGTCTCCATGAAGCTTTATGCTGCTCCTCTCTTTATGAGCAAAATAGAGTTCCTTTTATGGAGATCATTGTGGTCTATAGCTCCATATTTTACTACTGCAAGCTGTAGTCAGGTTGAAAATCCAGATCACTTTCGAGTTTTAGAATTTTTATGTTACTTCCTTTATCCGCACTTAACTTTGTCATTTAAAGTACAGCAAATAGCCTGTGCTGGAGATCTTCATGTGAATCTAACTAGAAAAAAATGTTACAAACACATTCACAGTAACAGCAGAGCTGGAGGGAGCAGGCGGCATCTCACGTTCCTCACTACACATTTCAACAAAAGCGAGAATTTTGCTTCATTTCGTTCCAAGATTTCCAGAGAAAGGGATACAGGGGGAGAGCCAGGACATTATTCATGTCTTTCAGTTCATTTGGCCTCGGCCGGTCAGCTCCCAAGACAGAAAGAGAAACCTTCTCTCCTGTTTTTCCTCCCTCCTCTCTTTTCTGCTTTTTTTGTTCCTTTTCTTTTTTATTTTGGAGGCAGATTAGCAGGATTAAGTATGGCTCACATATGCTCCTCCTCACTATTGGTATTCACCACGACACTGGGCCTACCGCCACCCAGAATGATGGACAGAGAGAGGCAGAAAGAAGGAGGTGATGGGAGTGAGGAGAGAAGGAAATGTTGGAGACACTGTTGTTCACATAACTTTGTGTGCTTTAGGTTCAGGGCTATTCCTCAGTCTGCTTTGCCATCATTAAATCAGATGAAACTTTTCAATGAATGTATCCCTACAGGAATTTTTTGTCTTTTCTAAATTATGGTGAGGCTCCTTCCTTTTTTGACATGTATATGCCCCCCTTGCAAAAAGCTAGATCTAATTTTGAGTTTTTGAAGTCCCCAACAGTGCTTTGACCTTAATCCTGTTCATTATATGAACCAACACCTTTGAGGTGAATGTGTTCATGGACTGTAGACCAGACCCTCCCAACCAGCATCAGGGTTGGACCCCTTGTGGTTGAAAAGGAGTAGATCACTGCAGCTAAGCTCACAACCTGCTCGAAAAGCCCCAACCCAAAAAAGAGACAATAATGCAAATGGTGTAGGAAGTATTGTGTTTTTTAATTCTTGATGATAGAAAAACAAAGACGCAATTTTATCGTTGATTTCTTCAAGGAACACAGAGTAACATGTTCTGACAGGATTGACTCAAAGAGGTTTTGAAGAGTTTTATACAATGATAAATCACAGACAATGTAGACCCACATCAGTTATTATTAAATAAAAGAACAAGGAGAGCACAGTCATCTCTACTTGATAATGTAATGATGCTCAACTCACTACTGCTGTGAAACATGGAACTAAATTTGCATTTTAAGGAAACAAGAAAAATCACCCTTAATTTGATCTTCCAGGTCCTTTTTTACACTTTTGACTTTGTCATGTCAGAAAAAAATATTCTTGTATGATTATGTCAAACAATATGAATTCAGATATTAATATCATAATTCTCAACAATAATGACCTCTACTGAATAATCTTGTAGCGATTCATTCACTGCTGCTTTGAAATTTGGGATTTCTACTTTAGTTATAAGAATATATGAGGAAAATAAACACTTTTTTTCTTTTCACTCTTTTATTTTAACAGTGTGCGACTCTAGTCTTATAAAGTTCTGGGTTCAGAGGTTAATTTCATAAACCACTGTTTTTAAATCTCGTTGTGGTACCGGAATCATTTCTAAAACCTTTTCTGAGGCTTATTGATAACTCTTGGCTTCTATGAATAGCTTTACTTTCACAAATCACCTTCATAGAGAAAGATTGATATTGTTTTGCAGTGTAGTGCGTCACTGATGCATGACATGGAAAAAATAAAACATTAGGCCTACTACTACTGGACTACCACTACTTCAAGGCCTATGACTACATTATAAATCTTAACCATGACTTTATATTGTATTATAGATATTTTTGGCATTTATGTTAAAAATACTCAAAAATCCACTTGAATGTTGGCATTATTCTGAAGTGCATCCTTTCTTCACTCAGATACATCCACAGTTGTAAATCAAAATGTATATTTAAATCTTTTAAAACTTGACTCAGCTGTGGTTATACTCTGTGAACTCTGGTAGGTGTAGAAGATGCCTGGCCCTAAATCAGCCCAGGAGCTGCTAAGTGAAGTGCCTAATCTGTAGTTAATAGTGGAATGACATTGTGTTTTTGTGAGGGAGAACCCAGCACAGAAGACAGCCAGGCCTGTCTCGTTGAGTGTCCAGAGCCTCAGTGAGACTGTGGGAATGTGTAATGAAGCAAACGGTGGCACAGATACAAACCTGATTTAAAATGCCACTTTACCCGCCTTCATTACCATAATCTGATTTAACGGGAGCACACACGCGCAGGCGACGGACACAGGCGGGAGAAAACAAGCAAATAATAACGAAAGGGGGTTACAGTGTGTGTGTGTGTGTGTGTGTGTGTGTGTGTGTGTGTGTGTGTGTGTGTCCCCGGGAACGATCTTGATTTTTGTGACACTGACGAACTGACGTAACACCTGACAGACTGTTACAGTGACGGAGAGTGCTCGGCTGTGATTGGCTCGAAGGTGACCGTTAGAGTGGAATGTTCCCCCCTCAGTCATAGAATCGGTGTCGTCAACGTTCGAAATAAGAAATCTGTTAATGGACCGCGAGTAACTATGGAAACAGCAGTGTTCTGTCCAGGAAGTAGCTTGAAATTTTTTGAAAACACAACAATATTATGCTAATTGTGAGGTGTAGGAGGACACTGAAGCTTGATTTAGTAAAATAATTACCTGAGGTGCAAACTTGTAATGCCTATCTTTTGTTCGCTGTTTGGCAATGTAGCCTAAATGTTCTTTAATTGTCATTTAATTGTTGCTGCTCTTCTTATTTATTTACTTATTTCGTAATGTTAATTGGTGTTTTGTGAGTTCTTGTAGTCTGGGCACCCCTCTGGTGTATGACGATGAGAAAATGAACTGATAAGTTAAAATACTACTTCTGCTACTACTACTAGGCCTACTTCTATTACTACCACTACTAATACTACTAGCCTACAACTTGGGTACTGCTGCTGCTAGGCCTAGAAAGTCAATCTGAAGATTACTTATTTTGTAGGCTATTTTAGATATTACCAAATTGGTATTAATGTTTTTAAAAAATGCACAAAAATTTACTCGACATAGGATTTTTAACGGTTTAAATCTAAAACTTTGTCCTTTTTTAAAATTTAGGCCCGTGTTTACTTTATTCTAAGAGAAATAGCACGATAATTGACATGCTCTGAGGTCCACCTTATTGTACCAGAAAGGGTAATTTTCATCAGCAGTCACTGGCAGGTCAACAGAAAAGTCATTTAATCACAAACGAGGTTTTTATTTATTTATCAAAACTACTTTTTAGAACGAAGAGTTGAGCCTGCTTATGATCTACTAACTTTACATTCTTTCTGTTACCTAGATTTTTTTTATTAAATGAATTATTAGATATGCTCAGGGAGGATATTTATACCCAGTCTTGTGGAAACTTGTTGAGGCAATTATCTCTGATTGCGTCTGACTACAGTCCAACTCGTCGTATTTGTGAACAATGCGGCTGTCAGCTTCAGTTAGGCACGAGAGCAAATCACCGGCGCGAGCCCTTCTGTCAGCTGGAGGCCGTCTGAGCGCGAGCGGCAGGCCGCACTGCTATCGCTCGCGAGGCACTAATTGAAATGTTACGGATCATAACCGTTAAAAACAATTTTACACACTTCATTAATTAACGTAAAAGATGCTTTTGAACAGCAGCTGCTGGTCGACAGCGGGTAAAAACGGAAAACAGCGTATTAAACCGCAAACTGCGGGCAGAAAACATATTGAGCTGCTTATTAGGTTTCGACTCGTTATTACAGTACACGTGAGGATCATTTAGTGGTGTTATAGGCCGAAACATGGAGCTTTTATTGAACAAGAAAGACAACTGAGGGCGAAATTTTGACTGTAGCCTACAAAATATGGAATTTATTGTTTAAACCCATACTTTTAATTAGCGAGAAAAACAACACGACGAAAAGGTTGAGCTAGTGTGTTAAAATGAAGTAAATTAAGTTCCTGCTTTTTTTCTGAAACCGCAAATTATTAATAATTATTAATTAATGAGGCGAAATACGGTAGGCCCCATAATTTGTGTGGCATTTGCCTACAATAAAATCCATCCACACACGGGCCAACATTTCCACAAGAAGGGGCCATATGTAGGAGGGAGTGTGTCTGATTTCACTTAATGCTGTGTGTTGGTAATTACATCAGGCTGGAGGACCCACCGTCACCCCCTCCTCTCCCCTCTCCTCCCTCCCTGCATGAAGCTGATTGGTTGCAAGGAGGCAGCCGGGACAGACACAGCGTTGTCCTGGTGACCCGGCCTCTGTGCGCTCGAGCGCGCTATAAAAGCCCGCAGCCTGACGCAGGCGTGCCAAATGGACTGTCAGACACGACCCGGAGTAACAAGTGGATTTGACGTTTAGCTTTTCTCACCGTCGCGCTTGAAACTCACTTGGTATGTTTACTGATTTCTTATAAAATTGTTTGTTGGTAGTCTGGTTGAAAATTTGTGTCATTTAAGCAGATTTCATGGATATTTTGTTCTGGTTGTTATTTGCTGTGAAGTGGAAAGATGGTTTATCCTTTTCCAGTTTTCTGGTGATAAAATAAAATTAAAAACAAACATAGGAAAGCAAATTTGCACAAAAGTAAACTTGTTTGACTGAATTTTTACAGGACTCGTTTGTTTTTTAAGCGTCAAGACTAAAGCTAAACTAAGTTTTTACGCACAACTTTTGTAGCTGATTGCGCATCAAACTGCGTGAAACAAAAAATACTTTCGATAAAGAGCGTTGTGTCTTTAAGTTGCTGCATGAGATTTGCAATTTTTGGCTTCAGGAAATTAACCTTTTCCCCCTAATGACAGCACTCTGCTGGACCAGGATCATGGACTCTGATACAAGCCGCGTTTCGAGCAGACCATCCTCCCCCGAAGTTGACGACATCTTCCTGTCCACCCTCAAGAAGTCAGTGCACGGTTTCTCCGGTGCTGTGTCCTCCACACAGAGCGACTCTCCGTCTGAGATCCCCGGCCTGCGCGGCCTCTCCGCTTCCGACGAGGAGTCCCTCGCGCTCAGGCTCGCGTCCAAAAAAGACCGTAAACTCCTCTCAGAGGGCGAGCTGCAGTCAATCCGCCTCAAGATCAACAGTCGCGAGAGAAAAAGAATGCACGACCTGAATGTGGCCATGGACGGGCTCCGGGAGGTCATGCCGTACGCGCACGGACCCTCTGTGCGTAAACTCTCCAAAATCGCCACCCTTCTGTTGGCGAGAAACTACATCCTGATGCTGAGCAACTCTCTGGAGGAGATGAAGCGGTTGGTGAGCGAAATCTACGGCAGCAGCGGTCATCACGGCGGCTTCCACCCATCAGCCTGTGGGACTATGACGCACGCAGGACCCGTTCCGGGACATCCCGCAGCTTCTCACGCCTCACACCCGGCTGTGCACCACCCGCTTCTCCCACCAGCAGCCGTCTCCACCGCGTCTCTGTCAGCGCCCGGCATCGCTGCTGTCACCTCAGTCAGACCCCACCACGGACTCCTCAAAACCCCCGCTGCAGGTGCAGGGCCGCTGGGCAGCAGCTTCCAGCACTGGGGCGTCGGCACCGGGATGCCTTGTCCGTGCAGTATGTGCCAAGTCCCGCCTCCGCATGTCTCAAGCATGAGCACCGTCACCATGCCGAGGCTGACCAGCGACTCCAAGTGACTCCTAAGTAAACGGAGACGAACTTTTGGGGTTGTTACAGACTCTCTCCCCACATTATGACGACTTTAATTTATCTTTGTTGCATCCATGGAGCCAGTTAAGACCAATGCATCCATTCTTCTCTCTGGGACTTTTGCTGTTTTTCCAACTAACTTAGTGTTCTATGGTTATTAACCTCAACTGTAACAGATGTTTGTTGACTGAGCTCCTTAAGCACAACATGAATTCAGCTTTTACTGGAAATCTTTAAAGGCCCGGACCTTACAGTCTGTTATTTAAAGATCAAACTGAAGAACTGTGGGCCTGCAGGGAAAAAAAGGACCCAAATCAAACCACAAATGTAGAGTGTAAATATGTAGATGAATTCTTCAGTTGAAATAGTTGGAGATATATATTAGAGTCTTGTTAATGAGTGGGAGGACTCCCCCACCCCTCACATGTTGCACCTGCTTTATTCTATCCATCTCATTCAAAGCTTCTCTCCTTGTTTCTCCTCAGTAGGGTGTCGATCTCTGCAAACAATGACCACTTCTTTATTTTTTTAATGACAAAAAAATGAAATGATATTTATTTACTTATTTTGGAGGGGGATTTCAGATGAATCTCTGATTATGTTGGTATTTGAAATGTAAAATAAAGATGCTTAATTGAAAATGGAAAAAGTCTTTGGTGATGTTTTTCTGTATACCTGCAACACTGATTTAGGAGATCTTAACAGAAAAAAAAACACACTGAAAAAAACAAACTGAACATTTTTATGCTGAATGACACTTTAAACATACCAAACTTTTTTACATCTCCTAAGAAGACATTGATGTGCTTAATTCACCTGTAGTCTGACTCAGTGCAATGGTAAGGCAATAAAATTTGGCTATGTAAGAGATATCATGCAGAGAGATGCATCTCTTGGCCTCGTCAGAGGGAAAATCAGGGCCTACATAAAGCTCTGCCTGCACCCTCAAGTCATTTCATTAAAAAAGAATGAAGCTTTACTAAAGTATTCTCTTCTAAATGAAGCATAAAAAAATCTGATCCATTTTAATAAAATGAAATTGAAAAGAAAATCCATCTTATGGTGTTTGCATGGAAACTCTAATTTTAGTAAGAAATTGGCCTTCAGGCAATTGGAACTTGGTCATAATGTAAATGTAATCTATGATATTTGCATTATAAAAACAGGACTATCTAAAAACTAAACCAAGAATTGTGTTATAAAAAGTTCCAAAATCTGTAGAGTTCTTGAATATTTTTATTAGATCATTAAAGGAAAAAAAAAAATTTAATGTCTTAGTGTTTTAAGACATAGCCTCTATAATATTAAGAAACAGATTTGCTCACAGCTGCTGAATATTCAAATCATAAAGCAGGTTATTGTGATCCTTCAAGGCTGTGCACAAGGTGACTTCAGCTGTTTGGAATCAGCTTCATTTCAGACAGTGATGACTTAAACTGGCACCTGTACATCACCATCACCTGACATTTTGTTCTGCATAATCGCTGTGTACACAAATGCACATTTCTCTGACCCCATACGATGAAAGGCGGCCACAGAAATGAACGATCCGTTTAAGGTTCTTAGCTTTGCAAAATGTGCATCAAACATAAACAAAATGCTCTGCAGGTGGAATGAGTCAGTGATAATTGAAGACCGGTACACTTTAGGAAAAGGTAGCAGCTGCACAGCAGATTGTGCATGCTGTTGCAATGTTTTCCAAAGGCTTTTGAAGCTGGAACGATATGAACTAAATCACTGAATATTCATGCACGCATTTGTTTATTCTTCTCATTACTGGAATTGAATTATTCAGAGCCCTTCATCGGTTTGTAGGACGTTTTAGAGAAGAAGAGGTCATTTTGTGCAATACAACGAAATATAGTCTGTTTACGGCTTGGTGTTAAGAAAATCTGTCTTTAAAAAACAACTTTTCTCGGCTCTTTGATATGTTAAATTAGAAATTTTAAGAGTATTATTGTTGGATAATGAGAAACACATTTAATGGTATTCTCTCTGAACTCTTTCCTGCAGATTTAAATCAAATAATCCATGTGTGAGCAGTGGCAGTGTAACTATTGTACTTCTTGGCTCAGGACTGTAAATGTCAAACATGTTTGAGATAGGGTTGGCAAAAACTGTCTTCTTTTTTTTATTGATGTATGATATTGTGCTAAAAAAGAACCATACAGTAATACCCTTACCACAATCGTTATATGTGTGGTCCAGCACTTTTGAGGAATTGTAGTGTGTGAATTTAGATGCTTGTGATGGCAAAAAATTGGTCTGAGCTGTCCTTATGTGTGCAGTCTCCCTCAGCTTTAAAGTCAGTTAGAAATGAAAAGTTTTCTAATGTATAACCAGCTCAAAATGAAAACGAAAAAACCTTGAAAGTAGATTCAAATCAAGAGACTGTGAAGCTGCCGAAAACCTTCATTCGTAATATTTTAGCACTAATTCATCCACAGAAACTCAACACATATAGCAACCAAAGCTCCCAAAATAAAGGCTGCTTTTTATGCCTTTCTCTTGATATGACAACCCTTACTTTGATCAGTAAAAAACTTTATTGACAGTAAATATTTTACTTTATATTTTTAATTTGTTGATACAATAACATCTCTACTCGGCAAGATAAAACTCATCTCTTCAGTTCTCTGAGCGCACTGGCCAATAGCAGCTGGGCTTCACATGCCTGTGCCTGGATTTGAATAAACAGCTCCTTCTCCACTGTTGGTGGCAGGCTGACTTATCTATTGATGCTGAGAGTGTGAGGTTGATTCAGTGACAGTTTAAATATTCATAACTTTGGACAGAAGGGGAGCATCGGTCTTACACAGTTGTAACTGGATTTAAACCTTTGTGAAAACACTGCACAGATGTACGCTCTTTCAGCCCCATGCATCGTGTTGTGTTAGCTGAAAGGATTAAAGATTGGTGGGATGCATCAAAGGTGGCGGAATAACAGAAAGAGAAACAGAGTCTATGATGGAGAAAAGGAGGAATAAGGGAGAGGAGATAAACAAACAGAGATGCTGTCATAGACAAAGACAGGATTTAACACTTACAAGGGAATAGATGGAGCTCTAAGGTGAATATGAGACCTCAGAGGTCACTCCTTCCCATGGGACTGATGTTTACTCGGACTCAGGCTCATCTGCTCATCTTTAACCACCATTAAACACTGTGATGGACTCAAATACACAAAGAAACACTGACTGTATGAGTAAGACAATCAACAAGTGGTGGTCTAGCTGGGGATTTAGCTAATTTTACTATGCTATGTTGCTTTCAAATTGGGAGGATTTGGGAACATTCTTGCTCTATTGTTTATTGATGAGATTTTTCACAAGATTTCTTGAAAATAAAAGCTACTGCTGCTGATTAGCTGATTATTATTACTTTTAAATTTTAAATCATAAGTCCAAAATATAGTAGCTTCCTCAACCTCCTGCACAACTACACCTGTTTTTGCGCAATAGTCCTTCCGTCAGCCTTTGGTTTTCAGCAATCAAGCAACTCTGATGCCAAAAAGGGCAATGTGCAACAAAATACGCAGTGATTATGATACCGAACCTCTGGCTCCCACTTTGAATATTTCAGAGTGACTAATTTCTAAGTCATTTGAGCAGAAGTTAAATTCTAACCAACCAACTAAACTGTTAAATTTCCCTTTGGGAATCAAAAAAAGTTCTAATTTTTTTCTTGTCTTATCTTTTTTTTTTTTTTTACCTTAAAAGTTAAAAAACTCTAAGGAAAAGAAACAACATTGAGCACAATTTACTCACCACAGACACTGAATCACAGTAAATTGTCAAATTGGTTTGACCGGTATGCCAACCAAAGCAGAGCTAGCACCACTAGTCTCCGGTCTTCCTGTGATGGTTGAGCTTAACAAAGTTTAACAAACCACAGCCCTCATAAAACTGGATCTCCATTTTCTAATCTAACTGCCATATGCCATCTGTCATCTGTGCTTGTTTACATCTGGGTAGTAGAGCATAATATCATCAATAAGGCAGCAACCATTAACCAGAGTTACTGACACCAGCTTGGTGGATGGTTTACAGTTTAGACAATTCACAGCCTGCATTTTGGGCAAACAATGATATGATGAAAATATCAATGCTGCATTTTATCTACTGGCAATTCTGGTGCCAATTAGTCTTCAATTTGGTGGATTTAGAGACTGGGAAGAGAGTGGGGAATAACATGCAATAGGGGTTAGAATCAAACCCTGGGTGCCCACTGTGAGGATTACAACCTCAGAGTAAGACGTGAAATTTGAACACTGACTGAGCTAAATTACATTAAAAAGACAAAAACTGACATAGTTTTTTCACCAACACAAAAAGATCTTGTTTTTCTTTCTGAGAGTAGCACAGAGATGTCTTTTTAGATAGTTATGTATTTCTGAGGCTACTATGCATCCTGAGATGTGCCAAGACCTTCTCAGGGTGATCCTAATGATCCTGGGTTTATGTCAGCACAGTTGAGTCCAGAGCGGTCCTGAGATCATTTCTGGTAATGAGTCTTTAATTGTTTTGATTTAAAACCTGAGTGTTCAGACTTCTTGTACAGTAATTTTTCAGTCAGAAAAGAAAAAACTCAAGAGAGCCAAAATCTACAATTAAAGGATTTCTTCACCATTTATAACCAATCAGGATTTCTTCAGCGCTCGGTACTTATCAACTTAACAATACTTGTGCGTGTGTGTGTCCGCCTGTCCAATAATCCATGAACAGTGGCAGATGAACTCCTCGATCGGGTGGATCAATGTGTTTAGTAAAAAGCCTAGAGGGACAAAGACAGAAAGGAAAGCCAGAGAAACAAAGCGAGTGGGCAGAAGATCCATTGAGTGTGTTTTTTTGTGGCTGAAGAATCGTCCCCAGCGGCTTTGAAAGGAGGGATAATCCTGTCAAGTAAGCAGACCTTTGGATATTCATGACTGGTCGAGCGGCTCGGTGGACTGAAGGAGGACACAGTCAGGATGGGATTAAACATCAAAGTGGAGCTGAGGAGAGCAGGACTGGGACATGAAACAACCAATGCAGAAACACAGGGGTCTCCGAGGGGTGTGCTTGGGGCCAGCGGGGACCAGTTGTGTGGTTGGGGGACAGCACTTTGATGAGGGCCCCTGAAAAACCATTAAGGATATGCTTTAGTGTCTACACCTGCCACCCAATCTGACAAACATGTACTAACATAAGCATCAAATTCAATATCAATATGAAGTTCTTATTGCTGTCTTCCTTCATTCTGATGAGCTGCTGAAGGGAGTCGTGGGACGACGAAGATGAGGATGACGGTTGAACAGGAACAAATCTCTGCAGCCTGGTGCCTGAGATATGGCGAAAAGTTTGAGCTGATACTAAAGTAGCTAAATCAGCGCCGGGAAAAATATGCAATTTATCTTGAGGTCAGGTCCAACGACATTCTCGATGAAAGCAGAGCAGCAGAAGAAACCATTTAAAAGATATTATGATAAATGATAGATTTGGCTGTAAACACTCAGCATGATAAGATAATTTGTGATAAGTTCCTACTAAAGCACATAGAGAACAAGGTAAGCAGAGACTGCTGTGTCCACAGGGGGCGCCAAAGTTGACAGTCTTCTCAGGCTTTTACTCTGAAACAGGAAAACAAACTCAGATTTTAGAATCAAGATCC